CTTTTACAGGGCTCTTTGTAGTCCTCTTTTGTTTCAAGGTCAGAGGGTCACTTAAGAGTTTCTATATTTCAATCTTCTATTTCGCAAAAATTATGTATTTTTCTATGCTGCATGTGGGTTTTGCCTTTATTTTAACACCGTTGTATAGTCTGCCACAGGTGTTGGTAGACTGCTACACACAGCTGATATTTAATTCCGATGTGTATGCCAGACCTCGATGAAGATTTCAGGTTGAACTATTATAGTGTGTTTTTGCTAACTGTCTGAGGTATAAACTAAAAATATAATTTTTGTTTTGTTTTTTAGGGGTTCTAGTTGCACTACATAATGTCTCACTAAACTTCCTGGTTTTGTGCTGTTTTTGTTTTGTCTTGTTTTTTAAACTCAAGCTATAATGAATCCTGCTTGTTCTCTATGATTTAGTGCTGCAACAGCAGTCTAAGCAAAGTGGCCTGCACACCCTTCTCCTCAGCTGCAAGTACATCCTCCAGCTTCTTTCAGGGAAAAACAAGGGTCTCCCACCTCTACAGTGAAGTGACCAAGACCCAGCCGTGTCAGACGCTCACACCATCTGAACTGACTCTGGGTTTTGGTGAAGACTACAACACTTCCCAAACTGTCAAGTTTGAAACAAGTGACATTACCAGACCTCTGGAGCCCAGTCCTAGCCCCAGCTTTAGGCTCGATGCTCAGGTCCACAATAGCTGCCACCAACACTCTTGAATATCAGATTAAACTTGTAGTGGTACACTATGACTGTATGTAGTGTAGGAAAAGTAATTATATGAAATACAGTTATACATCTACTTCATTGATATTTGATTAAAAGGTTGAAGGGACTGCTAAAGCAACTGAGTGCTTTCATTTGGCTAAACTTCTGCATAGTACTGTATGGCTACTAAACAAACACTGCAGAGGCAACTTAACTCATAGATTTTTGTTTTCATAGAGTTTTAAATGTTATGTAAGGCTTGTGGAAGCATCGTCTTCCGTTTGGTATCTGCGACAGATAATTTGTAACAAAGAATATCAAAACCTAAACTGAGGCTGCCCTGCGGTGCTAACTATCAGTGTAGTCACTATTGTGACATCACTGTGTAAACAGCATTCAGGACATGAGACATAAGTTATGACTAAATGCCAGGGCAATGTTTCTGTGGGACACATGTAGTTTATGATTCTCTCAGTGGATTATAGAGAGAAGACAACAGTATTTTCTGTTCTCCAAAACAGTCAGCTCTTAACTAGAGATACATGATAAAAAGGAACAGCTTGTTACTATGGACACCATGCAGACATTATATAATACAGACCTTAATATAGTAGAGCTGGGTCTGCTCCTATATCTCGAAAAAGATGGTCTTTAGTTTGTTATTTTTCAAATAGTTAATTAGAATAGTCCAGAGCATAGCACAGACAGCATTTCCTACACACAGATTCTACCAAGATTTTATGTTCAAGTATATTCTGTGGCTCATTTCAGCATGTTGTATTTTTATTTATTTAGCTTCATGAGAAGACACTACCATCCGCAATCGATTTAATGATGAGCAACCTTATTTTGAAATTTGATTGCTGCTAACCTCCCGGCCCCCACCTTTCCTACCTCTTGCTTCCCTATTGACAGGCTGAGACTGGAGTCTTTGATATCGTTCGGCTGCACTGGGCAGTTCCATTGTTCCCTGTAGGTTTCATTTCCCCGCAAGCATAATGTTGCCTTCCACTTCTATGTGGACAACACACAAACATACCTCTCTATGAAGATAATTTTCAGGTCCCTCAAGTAATCTGAAATACTGAATTTCCAAAAACATTCTTCAGTTAAATACAAATAGTGATTGGTTTGGGTTCCCGACCAGACCAGTGAGTATAATGAGATGCTTAAGCCCAATGACATTAACCCTTCATGGCAGTGCTAAGAATCAGGGATTTATTTTGGATTCAGTGCTAAAATGCAACATGTCAGCGTTGTATTGAAATGCTGCTTTTTTCCATATGAGGAATACTGCCAAATTGCAGTTATTCTTTTCACCTAATGACATGACAAATGTTTCAAGAACACCTGTTACTGGATTTGGATTTGGGAGTTGTCCATTTAATAATTTCCCATCTATATTTATTTATATATTGAACTTCTACACTTCACAATCTCTTTTCTGACTTCACATGTTTTGTTGATGTTACCATTTCTATAACGGTACAACACTTTGGCTTTTGCATAGACTGCATAGGTTCTTATTTATTGTTATGAAATTTGTTTGGTTTGATTTTGTTCTGATTCTACACACATAATGTTTGATTATTGTTAGGTCGAGGTTGTATTTTCTTTAGATTCTAGTAACTTGAATCTTTCGTTCTTGTTATATTTAGGTTCCAGTTACTGTTTATGGAGGGGTGGGCTATTTGCTGTTTTACTTTGGTAGTTGTGACTTGCTTTACTTTACTGTTTAGACTTTGTCACATTCCCACATGTATCCACTAATCCTTATCCTTATAATGTGCATGTATAGAAATATCGCTCCCTTTCCTTTGTTAATCTGTAGCTCTCCCGGTTTGCCCCTTCCTTGGATTACTTTTAGCTTATTGTGTTTCTCTACTACGTTACAATTTGGACTCATTAGCTATTACTTCTATCACAATTCCTCTTTCACACAGTAAACTGTGAGTGATTAATTAAAATATATAACTCGACATTCATGGGAGAAGATTGGATAAACAACAACACAGACTTTTTTTATGGAAAGGACAAATCTGATTCACTGTGGACCTCAAATACCCTGAAGGTGTTTTAATTCAAGCACAGCACAAACATGCTTCTGCCATGTCCCTTTTGTGTGCCAGCTGCGATCTATGTTATACTCCCCAAAGCCAGAGCTCATACAGATTTTGACCATATTTGTTTACTACTAGCTATGGCTTGTTGGCAGTGAACTATGTACTTCAGCTGCAACATGCCCATGTTTAACTTTTCTGTTTTAGTTCCCTAATAATTCTGTTCTTGTACGCGTCTATTTTTACTGCAGTCAATCTGAATCTTTCTGCAGACTTTACTCCTTCACATTCCCTTCATTCACTTTACTACATTCTACATTTCACACAGCAAAATACTTCAGATTTATGAAAAATGTCTGATTTAGACTCGCAAGACTTGCAGTCTCTTTTTCAGTGACGCAAACACAAATGACACGAGCTAAAGGTTATGTGACGAGAAACATCAGCATTTTCAGCTGTAACGGAAGATAAGAACAATACGTAAGGAAAAGAAGAGGACAGAAACTCTGAGTCATGGTGAAGACGCTGAGAACAGGCAGCAGGAATAACAACAACTGTGACTGCAAGACGACAGCAACAAAGATGCTTATACGTGTTTTTGCAAAGGCCTGGCACAGAGCCATCACTGGGAGAAGTTTATTTCAAACTTGGTTTTCATTCCTTTTCCTTCGACACTTCTCATGTAACCTAACAAGCATTACACTCTCTCAGGGAGTCTACGGGTATGAAGACGTTCAATTTAATTTTAAGACTTAAAAATTATATTTTAAATTAAATTCAGTATCTAAATGGCAATGGTAAAAAAAAAAATGTGTTATGCCCATGCAAGTAAACTGGTACCAGTTATAATAATAGTAAAGGTCAAATTGTCCATATTTATTTGGGTTTAAGAACATTTTCTACATGTATTTATATAATGTAGAAAGATTATTAGACTTAAAGTGCAGTTTGCTTTTTAAACATTTCATAATCGTTTTTCTCGAGGTTGATCTTGCATCTTTCCATTTTCACAGACTAACGACTGAAGGCCGACTAGTAAAGCCTTTCTCTTCTTTAAGATCTTTGGAGTTTCCATCCGTGCACTGCAAGCCTCTTAATTTGATCCCATGCTAGGTATAAATGTTGGGAAGTCCCCCCAACCCAAATACATACCCACACTTACCAATAAATTAGCTAATGTAGGTTTAATATTTTTTTCACATATAAAAACCTAAAAACAGTAGTGGAATCTATAAAGAAGCAAATGTTACAACTTAAAAACCAAACAAACAAACATTGTTTTTTTTCCTTCTTTTATATCAAATATCTGAACAGTTATATTCAATATGCTGAATCCTTAATCGCTGTATGTGGGGTCGAGGTTAACTGTTACTGGCTGCTCTCCTTCTACAGCCTTCTAAATTATACTGTGGATGCAAAAACATTATGGCTATAATATTGAGATCACACATAACTCCTGCAATATAATATATAGTAACAATAGTCTGGTGATTGTGAAAATTTTACAAATCTTATGTAAATTTAAGCCAATTTTAGATTTTTTAAGGCCTTTGTTTAATAAATGTGCATTGTGCTATTTTACATCTGTGGATTAGAAATACATATAGATGTACATACACATATAAGCAAGCATTATGGGGGTTTTTTTTCAACCATTCCGATCAAGGTTAAAAATCTGTCTCTGACTCTACAAGCTGGCTTATAAGCTCAGTGTAAATGTCACAAAAAAAAAGAGTCAAGATTTGTTTGAAGGAGATTATGATTGTCTCTCACAGTCTGACGTAAAGCTTTAACTGTGGCACTCATGCATAAATAAAAATTGAGCCATAAGTTAACTCAGGTAAAACTTTTGTCTCACACATGGAGATTTCTTTGCCAGATGCTTCAGGAATGTTTATTATTCCCACTTTTAAACATTTCTATGTCATGAACAAATAACACCCCTCTGTCAAACTGAAGTGTAAACTTTTACTAGCAAGACTGTGCGGTGGGCCCAAGCAGCAAAGTAAAGCTGTACAACCAGCCCTGTATAATCAAGAACACCATGGAGAAAATCTGTAATGTTAAAAGAAGAACGTCGATATAATGGTGCATCATAGTGCTCTGGCTGAGATGTAATTGATATCAAAACAGTAAGAGATTATCAAGTTTTTGAAAACTTGCAAACCAAACACATACAAATAAAGTGAAAACAAAAAGAAAGCAGAATAACAATAACTTTGTTGTACCTGGTAGGTGTCCCACAGTCTGATTGTGCATCGTAATGGCAACTCTCTCATCAGGAGGTTGTTCATCCAGCGAAAGGCAAACTGCAGGTACTCCACCTCGTACTGCTGCATGTGGCGGTGCACAGATTCTGACAAAATAATAATAATAAAAAATATATATATTTAAACTTTTTCCATCAGTTTTCTGTGTAAAGACAAAAGCAAAACAGCAGAGATCCTGCATGGAGCGGCAAAGAAAAAAAATACTCTATCTATGGTAAAGGTGACAGTAACAAGTACGTAGCTAGACAGATTCCTTCAGAACTCCCTTCTCTGTTAATTACTGCTGCAGTCACTATCACACGCACAGCCTTTCCCTCATAACAGAGATGTAATTACAGAGCTATCAAAACTGTCTCAGAAAAGCTAAACCAGGATGAAAAATGGAAGTATAATTGTATTGTTAAACAACCCTCTAAAGCAATTGCAGGCCGCTGCGCCGAGGAATGAAATGCATATAAAGTAGGTCAATGGCATCCAGAGGTGAGGAGCCAAGGCATGGATGTATGTAACGTATAGGGCGTGTAGTAATTATTTCTTTGACACGACTGCTTTGAGCAGGAACTGATTAAAAATGTATTATGCTGACTTCTAACCCAAGTCAATCTGAATAACGCAAATGTCAAATGTGACCTTAACCTTGTCGAAAGACACTTTGTCCTCAAAAACATTTCATTTCAGTGGATTTCTAAAGATGGGGTTCAACTTCCTGGGACTCTAAGTGTTAAGCTTTATACCATCAGATTGACCTCTCTGCATCAGTGATGTTTATTTTACTGCAGAGATAGAAAATTACAGAAATGGTCAAAGCTTTTGAATCAGTGTTTGTGTTTTGTTTTCCTTTGGAAGTATGAGGGTGACTGCAGTGATATCTAGCACAATTAGAGTGCATGTGGAGTTAACTCAGTATATTTCTATGTGCATATAGATGTGCAGATACAGTATCTGTAGGCAACTCTTGGCTCAGGTTTTCCATCTGTAATTTCTGTAAGTCCCACCGACCAATCGTGTTTGAGCAGAGTTTGGCTGCATGCAGGTAAATACAGTGAAAGAAGCACCGAGTTAGCAATGATGCAAAATCATGAAAACATAGGTACCGTCTGACAAAACCTTAGCTTTTTATTCCCTTTTTGGTTGCTGCCCTGAGGCCAAGGCTTTAAAAGATTTTTACTCCTGCATTAAATCCCCACAGAGCGCACGCCGTAGTGGGCAAAGTTGTGTTTTTGTGGGGTTTTTGCATTTAAACTTGTGTGTCAGTGCGTCTGAATTGCATCATCCTTGCCCCAATCAATAAACTGTGCTTACACGGTACATTGCTACCAAACGAACCTATCATAGAAGCTGCTGTTTACGCCGTATTTCTGTGAAGGAGCAGAGCAGGCTACGTACTATAAAGCAATCTCAAAGTAGCAGAAACTTCCAAGTCTGCTGTAATGAAGACACAGACCTGTATTTTAGGTAAGCTGGATTCTAATTTCCTCCATTATTTTAACTCTTGTGGCATCACTGCTGCTCAGTTCCCATCGACAAACAGCTGAACAACAGGCGCCAACTCGGAGACTCCTCGTACCCTTAAAACAGTGTTTTGTTTATTCCTTCCTACAATTGGTTCAGCTCATGTCTCCAACCACCAAACAAAAAAACAGACCATATGTTGCATATGGCATCTCAACACGTTCTCAATAGGCGGTTGCGGTGTCAGTGTCATGGCGCGGCACGCTGGCACCGACGCTCACAGGGAAAAATGGATGAGACACGGAAACGTCTGTTTAAAAAAAAAAAGAAGAAGAAGAAGAAGCTCGCGGTGTGTGAGGGAGTGACTGTGAGAATGGCTGCCTTTGTTCCTTCCCCTGCTCCTGATAAATGTTTGTTTAATGCGCCTTTACATAACAAAAGATTAAAAATACCACTCAATATTCAGCGACTCCCTGTTCCACAGTCATCAAACCCATGACACTCATTCTCCTAGACACACACACTTCATAATAGAGCTGTAATTACAGAGCTGTCAGGGAATCTATGAAGGAAAAAAAACAGTTAGCAAGGAACTATCCCATCCTTTTCCCTGACACTCTGGGCTCTTAATCAGGGCTGACTGGCATGCACAAGGACACAAACAAACACACACACAAATTCAGCTTTTAACCTTTAATTGGCAAAACCTTATAGACAAGATACCACATACGTTGTTGATTTCCAGCACTTGATTGGCACATGTCTTCCTCAGCTTACGTACATATCTAACAGAAATGCACACACTCCACCACATGAGCAAAGGCGCAAAGTAAACACAAAGCTATTATTTCACACTCCTCTGTGCAGTTTAATTATCACATGCTGCTGTAAAAGCATAAACAAGGCTAGCTCATTAACGGCAAATGCATCATGGTGGCAGATCTGAGCTAGCTGCCAAACAGAAAGGGAGAGAGTGGAACAACTTTAGACAATGTTAAATTACACTAATGAACTTGCTCTGCCTAATATTAGCGGCTTCACCAAACACAAAGGGGAAGAGGTGCGCGGTGGGGGTGGGGGAGTGGTGGAAAGGAGGAGTCGTTTGTCATGAGATGATATCGTGGTGGGGTGGGACAGTGAAAATGATAGAGGGAAAAAAAAGTGAGGCGCTTAAACTCGTGACTTTTTAGCCGTCTGGCTGGCACACAGCGCTCAGCATACTGGGCAGGGTTGTTAGAAGGGCTCGGGGAGGTTGAGCATGACATGTCTCATAGACACTGATTGACTGATGAGTCTTGTCTTCCCTCCAACTGCTGGTTAAAGTTGAGGACGGAGGCCACAGAGCAGGCTAGTCTGCTCTCCACGGCAGACCGTAGCCTCTGGCTGTCGGGCAGTAGAAGGTCAGTAGAAGGTCAGAGGTCGTACAGTAACTAGTGAGAAGCTCCTCGGATTCTGCTGATGAGGCCAATTCTGCCTTGCTTGGTATAAAAAGTAATTACACTCGCACGCTCTCTTTATCCTCTCCTCCTCCCCCTTTCATTTCTTTCTTTTAGCTTCTTGCGGTCTTCATTTTTTCTAAAACACCGGTTTTATTTTGAATTTGCTCGCCTTTTGTTTGATGCGTACCTAGCGTATTTACAGTGTAGCTTTTCATTTTTCATAACCGCGATCCTGCCGACTAGTCAGCATTTGTCACTGTCTGCACCTGCCAAGCAGCAGGGATGGATGTATGAATTTTTTATGGTTATAAGCATTTATAAGGCTGCCAAGCACTTTGTGACAAATAAATAACTTAGCAATCTAATTAGCTGCCTCTCCAGTGAGTCTCTCATCCTGTGGATTAACTCCAACTCCACCATCTTGGACTGCAGCTGCCAAAAGTAGTCCCTGCTCCACTCTGTAGCCTCAGTGGGCTTGGCATAGCTGTACATGACCCACTCTTTACCTGCTGCAGGTTCTGGTTAGAGTATCCCTGAGCTACTGTTACCAACTGCGAACCCAGGAAAGAGAGAATAGAAAGAGAGAGAGATAACTGAATCATATGAGGAACTGCTAGAATAGCAACCTTCCCAGATAGTGAGGAAAACACAAAGAGGACTGAAAGGCATCAACTAAACTTTCAAATTAAGAGTGACGGGCTTCTCACTAGTAAACTCTGCTCGGGTGGCATAATTCGCTCAAACAGATGCAAACAACAAAGCTGAAAAAAAAAAGAAAAAACCAACAGTTAGGCAAATGCCGCGCACTGGGTCTGCTGTGGGGAGCAGCATTGGAGCAGGTGACACTGGCAGACTGATAAAATGATTAGGAAGGCTGCTCTGCGATTGGCTGCCAACTGTGCACTTTTAAAGCTGTGGTGGAGAGGAGGTCACTGAAATGACTGTTATCCATCACAGATAATCCTGACCACCCTCTGGCCCACTTTCTCTAGCAGACTGATTCAGCTCTGCTGCCAGAAGGACAGATTAATATTTTTTTTTAAATATTACTTCAACTGCTGTAACAGAATTAAAAAATGTAAAATAGTTGCCCAAATATGGTTTGAAGTATCTCATATCTTATCTCATCTTAAAATGGCATGCAGTGAAGTTGTACCTAAGTATAAAGGAGTTAAGATTTATTTACTTCAGACACAGGCTTGGTTCCTTCTGCAGGGAGTAAACTAATTAGACGGACATGCTGTGTGTACACATCTTGACTGTTGTGTGTGTCTCTAGCTTCCCCAAATCCCACTTTATTTGTTTAACTGTTACACAGACACTCTGACGCTCTCCTGCACGACACAGCTCTATAAAATGAAAAAGTTAAATCAGCACAAAGCACAGCGAGAGCAGACTTTTATTTTCCATTTTACTTCACATAAAAGAAAGGCCACGTAATATGCAAAAATTCCACCTTGTGCCCTCAAAAGTTGAAAACACAAGTGACCAATGTGATAGCAGATTTGCACCGTGGCGGTAAGGCTTTGGATAAGAAGGGTCTGAAACGACTGTGGTGAAGAAATCTGTGAATCGTTTGAAAAAGAAAATGTTAGAAAACTTGCAAATGATAGTATCTCGGGGTTGTGGAGGACTGTGTGGGAAGATATGAAACAAACAAGCAAGCAAAAAGAAAAAAATCAGGTTAAATGGCATCACAGTTGGCCTGAACATAAGGCGTAAAAAAATAAACGGGAGGTGGGGGCCTTTGGTTGACGAGGGGGAAAACAAAAGGAAGCCAAACATACTGCTGCAGTTTAGAAAAAAACAAAACACTTAAATCTTGGGAACATAAAATACTAAAACAAAACTACCGCACAAGAAAGCCAAATTAGCTAAAGATTTTTTTCCCCCCAAACATATGAGAACAGCTTTCCTTGCTTCTCATTATGCAATACAGTCTCACAGTGCAGCTACCAGCCTTTCTACTAAAGTCAGGCACGCATGCTGCAAGTACATCCCCTCATTTGCATAAATAAATTCACCTTTTAGCAATTTGCATGTTGATGAACTCGCGCTAATGCACTTGCATGTAACAAATACACAGACAGAGATAAGGGAGCGATAAAGAGATCAGAAAAACATTACATGCTGACAGACTGGCTGTTCTTTTGAGGAGGAACATGTGCTAGCGTTAAGCAAGGCTAATGGGAGTTAGCGTCACTTATTAAAAGTAGGATAATTACAGAGGAGGAGCGACCGAGGGACGGGCAGGCAGAGGCAGAAATGAAGGCGTCTCGAAGTAAAAGATTAGAAACGATGTCAACAGCTCTTTCAACTCCACGAATCAAAGTAAAGAAGCAAAGTAATAAACATCTTTCATTTTTAACAAGTGCTTGCAGTTTGTTTTTGGTCTCCCTACTTCAAGTTCAATATGAGCTTATACTGTACTGAGAAATAAAGTGCATGGAGAACAAAAAAGATTATTTGAGTGGTTTTAATATCCATGTCTGTCCAGGTCTGTAATATACTGAATGCAGTCACGATGTTGAAATAGCATTTTTGGGGATTTCTTTGGGTGAACACCAAAGATTAGCGTCGCTAAATCGACCAAATGTTGAGGACAGGCCGGGGCTTCCTGGCACAAATCCAGAACCATTTGTTCCTCTCTGGGATTAAATTTGTGTCACTGTAATTAAACACAAACCTCACAGGAATAGAGTATCCACACGCACACGCACACGTCGTTTGATCACAGTATTCTTGCCTCTCCTTCAGCGACTGCCATTTCACTTTTTTTGGTCACTTCACCTCCTTCTTCTGCTTAGAAGAGAAGGTAATTTTATTACGACTTACCGTTTACTCAGTTTGTCTTATGAAAGTCATGAAAAACTGCACTCTCTGTAACTCTGTAACTAATTATTCTTGCCCTCACTGGTTAACTGTTTGATCTCAGATGTTTCTGAAGCCAAAGCAATTAGTTTTAAAATTAGCAAGACACAATAAGAAAGAATGGCAGACAGTTATGTGAGAGCAAACTGGCATAACCCCACGCAAAGGGAGCAGTGCAGCTGCATTTAGCATAGGCTCCTGGTGAGGAACTAGCTAATGGTAGCAGCTACTAGAGTTAGCCACATACAGCAAATTCCTCTAAATGTCAGTACATGGTTTTTCAAATACTTTGAGTGGTAAAAATGTGAATTATTAACTGAAATTGTTCTTCAAATATGTCTGAAATATAGTTATGAACAATATCTAACCTCCATTAGACCAGGCTTAATTTCGACCCCTTTATAAGTGTTTTTCTCCATTGTACCCACTAAGATATTAGTTCACAGTAGCATTAATAGTGAATATTATAGTTGCAAGATCCATATCCGCTAAAACTTTCAATCATCTCCATCACTAAAATGAATCTTTTTCTTAGAGGTGTTGCTTTAAAGTTATTCTTACCTGACATTAATACAAATATTTCATTTTAATTAACATAAGAATAAGTGAGAGAAAAAGGATGGATGGATAGCTGTGCTCCTCTTTGTGCAAAAGATTAAAAAAGGAAGTCTGGCTGATTAAGTCGATAACAGTGCTGCATACAAATGTAGGCTTGTCTTCTTCTAATGAACTATGAATGTTTGTTTCTTTTGTTTTAGAGAACTCTGCTTTGTGTTTCTAACTTTTTTCTAATTGCAGAAATATTCTAAAATATTTATATTAATATTTATTCATGAATCACTTCACCATATTTGTGTAAGATGTTCTTCAGTTGCGTATTAACTAAGTTCCTTTTCCCTCTTCTGGAGGACAGCAAACAAACTATGTAGCAATCTGAGGCTTTTATTCTGAAAGGCAGGGACAGAAAAAGCCCTTTTTGCACATGGGAACACTTTTCTTGTAAAACAAAGGGGGGCCTAGCAAAAAAAAGTTTGGGAACCACTGGACTAGGATAAGACAAGACCCCACCCCACTATCAAAATACACACCACTCTGGATAAACCTGCATCTGATAAGCGCTGATAGGTCATTTTGGAAACGATGAGAGGCTATTGTTCTCAAAACAGATGGTATGTCAACAGCAGGGCGAAAAACAATCCCGTAACACAAGATAAAAGCTATCTGTGATCTCATTAGAGCTGGTAATGTCAACCTAGCGAGGTATAAAATTTCTCTGCCCCCACTATGATGACAGGGCACTTATGGAAAAAGATACAGTAAAGATGTCGAGTCATTTTTTTTATGTCGTTGCTGTTGTGGGGTGGGGGTGGGGTGAAGTGGACTGCGGATGAGGTGGAGGACTTTTCTTCTTCCTTTTTCCCTTCCCGTGTGTGTGTCTGTGTATTTCACTCAAACACACACACAAACACAAGTGTACGCACAATTTTTTTTTTTTTTAAACACACACCAACCGTCGTACGTGCATGCTCTTCAACGGACCTCTTCTGTCACAATCACACATGCAAACAGACAGGCCTGCATTTGCTCGCTAACTTTTTCTGACATTCACATTCCTGCGCACACACAAACACGCGTGCACAAACACACACCCTCCATTCATTTGGATGCAGAGGATGAGTCCTCCCCTCCCTGTGGCTGACAGAGCGGGTGACAGGGTGGTGGGACGGCACCAAGGTTAGCCGGGAACATGACCATTGTACAAAAGCCTGCTTTGATAAGCCCTTGTTTTGCACAATGCATCGTGGGGCTGCTGCAAACCTCGCACGAGTTTTAAGTGACAAAGTTTGGATGGAAAACTATTTCAAACCAGGTGACGTGTGTACTGTTTGGACAAAATGGAAAAGACAACGGGACCAGAGAGGGAAAAGTAGCTTTGCTAATTAACACCGAGTTGAGAGCATGTGTGAAATGTCACTGAGCTGCGTATGAGTACACTCGGTGTGCATACATTAACTTCCAGGCCTCAGCAGGCCTCTGGTTTGTGCTATTAGTCACTAGCACGTACGCGTTTCCAGACAGCCGAGTGGAATGAAAATTAGCGAGAGACAATTCTCATGTCATGTCATTAGAAAGTGACGATAAGCCTGGAAGAATTAAGGTGTGAAAGCAAATGTAACTGGCTGGTGTGTAATATATACAGTTCTAACACATACATTTTTTAAAAAACAAAGAGTTTAAGTGTTAAGTCAAAGTTGGGGGGTGGGCTCATTAAGGGCATGCTGAGTTATTTTTGCTTTCTCTCTTTATTCATTTTACATTTGCGGTACCTTGCAGAGTGTCAAATCAGCCCAATTACTCCCACTTCCACCTCCTCTCTGCAACAAGCGGATATTTATATGCATACAGTAAAGTCCTACTAGGGTACTTGAAGTTAATGACTTGGTTAATGTTATTAGAGGGGGAATGCAGAAGCCAATATACTCAATAGTCTTAATATATAAAATGTACATAAATATACAAAGTTAAGATTTCCCTGGCTGGACTAGAAACGGCTTCTAGATAAGAACAATACATTTCCAAAAGCAAACAAACAAGAAAAACAGATGAAAACACATAATAAACAACATTTTCTTCATATTCTCCCTCCATTTTCCCCAAGCAGAAACTTCTGGAGCTGAACAATGAAACCAACACTTGAATGCAAGAAACTGCAGTTCCTCCAATGGCCCCTCGAGGCTGGTTCCTAACGTTAAAAGACTGGTCTCGAGCTTGAAAACAGGATGTTTACAGCTTGGTACCAGGATAAAGATGGCTTACTGTGAGGTCCAGATGGTCCCATAAGTTTGTGCTTTGGTGTTGGTGAATTAAATTATCATGATGTATGTTTTGTTTTTTTTAATTAGCAGGTGTTTATGTCCAGTCTGTGGCTGTAACTTGCTAACTGAGATAACATCTTACCCTCACTCTGAAAAATGATCAGGTCCAGGCTATAATGCTAATGATAAGGCTTCAAAAATGTCATTGTGGCTCGCTCGATCAGTCCTTTATATGCTGACTATTACAAAGAAAAATAGAATGATTGTGGAACACACTATGTATTTTTCGTGTTTTACATGAAAATGTTAAATGTAAAAAAAAGTGGGTAATATAGGAAGCAATGGAAAGGAAAAGAACTTAAACAATCAGAAAAGCAAGAACGGGTAAGTAGAAATTAAATCGGAACAGAAGAGCAGTGAACAGAAAGTACTTTATGGATGGGTGAATGAATGAATGGACGGATGGAAGCCAGGCAGATGACTCACCATCAATCCTGCTGACCAGCTCCTCTAGGGCCTTGACTTTTTTCTGGATGCCTGGCTGAGCAAATGTATAGTTGTCCTGAGGAATAGAAGAAAAAGCACACAGTCAAAATGGCCTAAGGCTCATAAAGCAACAGTAAAAGTAGGGGAGACCGGGGATGGTTGTAACGTGGGTCAGTTGTAACACTTCCAATTTCTCCAATCAGGGCTAAGTTTCAAATGATGTGACTCATCCTGTGCATGCCCAATCTCAGTTCTGCTATCACATGTGAAAAATCAGCACATTTTGTCAAACACAGACAATTTAACATGAAAAAAAGTAATTTGTATGCCAAAAAGTAAGTTTTTCTACTTTATTTCTATGTTTAATAGCATTATCTGCTTTGCAGTTAAACTCATCAAACTTAAATTATGTTATTTGTATGTCTATGGGGATATATTCTGTGTAGGTCTTTAGAGCTAGTGTTTTAGCCGTTGGCTGTAATGTTAGCTAGTTCATGGCTATAGGAGTCTGGGTCAGTTGTAACAGCAACAGTCTGGGTTAGTTGTAACAATAATGCAGATGTTACAACTTACCACACTATTACTTTAACTCATATTAAACAAGTTGGGGCAACGACATCAGCAGAGAGAGGTTCACTGGTCGCTTTTGTATATGCGGTTAATGCCATTGGCAACACAATTACTTCACTGTTTGTGTTCCCACACATACATTATGCAGACCACTGTGTCAGAGATGGACCAGTAGGAAGTACTGGTAGTGGAAATAAATCAGGATGGGTGCAAGAAACAGATTTCCTCATCTTTCTGAAGCACTTTGCAAACCACACCAAGGTAAGCCATGATAAAAAGTAATGGAATTGCGATGCTGGTGAACAACTACATTTTTTCAGCTTCATTGTTATGTTCAAAATTGGTGCAAGAGTTGTAGGTTATAATGCCCACTGAGCCAATGAGGCCAAACTCAAGGAAGACCAACCAAAATTAATGAAATATTCAGTTGCAGAAAATTCCATAATTTGTCTTTTTTGGGGGGTTGGAATATGTTCAAAAGCTAGATTTCTGCATTCTGTCACACACACACACTACATAAATGGCTCTAAGTGCATTCATGTGTTGAATAAACAAAGATTACATGTTAATATTTTGTTAGTACCCTTATTTCATTGTGTTACATTTCACCCCAGGATATGTTACAACTAACCCAGACTATGGGGTTAATTGTAACATTTCACTCTTTGTGTTTGAGACCATACCATGCAATGGGTAATTGTGCTGCAGAGAAAATAGCTGCACTATTTAATAGCAGAGACATGTAAATACTTTGCATTACATTTTGAATCCACTACCTTAAAAGAGCTCCAATTTACAGACAGAAATGTCAAAAATGTTACAACTATCCCCGGTCTCCCCTACCTTTAAATAGTTGGTCTTTAATACGTTTGTTGGTACTTATGCATTTCGTTTACTCCCCAAGAAAAATGAATGCAAGAACAAAACAGCCTTCAAACACTATGTATAAATCATCACAAGCAACCGGGAAAAAGGAGTGCGAAGGTCAGACTGGCAAGTGGATAAAAGTCCTGTGAACCTGAAGTGACTAGATAACAACAAAGTACAGGGAAAAGGGAATAAAAGCACAAGCTAAGGAGATCAAGCAGATATTTTATTACAGGAATATTTGTCATATTTCTCTGTAATTTGCTCGACAAGCCGTGAAATTGATCCCTCATTGAGAAAACTAATGCAGTTTGATTCACATTGATGTTTCGCAGCTATTTGGCCCGAGCGTCTGTGTATCACAGCGCACAGTGAAAGGGTCTGAAATTTTCCGTTTAGTCTTTCAGAATATTTTTTTATAAAGTGCCGCAGCTATTAGAAATTTTGAGTGTTTGCCAGAGCCTATTTCACACCTCACACAAAGCCTAAGTCATTTTTAAACTGTAAATAAAGAAATGGGCAACCTAACTAATATTGCCATAACAAAACATTTGCAGCTCCAACCTTGCAGGCAAAGTAAAAGGCTGATTACGAATGAGGTTCTTAGAAAGGGAGATCAGGCTTGAATGGGTCAAATTTGTTGTGCAGGTACTTATCACCAAGGTCTTCGTGTCATGTATTATATCCTTTAAAGATTTCCTGTGCCACATCTCGGCTAAATAAATCCAGTTTTAAAATTCGATGATAGAAGAGGTGGTTTTATAAAGCTGCAAGTAAAACCAAAACTCAAGAGATCCATAAGCCTGCAAAGCTCTAAATGGACTTTCAAGTATTGTCATGTGCTCAAAAAAAGGCTACATAATAAGAAGTGATTATTTTACTGTTTCCATTGACATTCTGACTCATAACATTGATCTTATTTTATTAATTTTGGCTAATGATCAAAAGCTATGGTGTCATAAGGAAATGAAGAGAATTTGGAAATGCTTCTTTAAGTAGCTAGCTCTGATGCACAAATATAACAGAGTTATTATATAAAATTGTATTCATTATATGTTCCTTTGTAGTCAATCAGCTCTAGGAAAGAACAGGCACTGAGGAGAGTTCAAGTTCATATTACATATAGTTGTGGCATAACCGTGGTAGCCAGTAAAAGGTAGCTGCGCTATATAGTTTCAAAGGTGTAGCCTAATCATGCTAGCTAGCAAAAAGTAGCCTCAGTATGGAGTTGGAGGTGTAACACAACCATGCTCGATACAGTGATAAAAAGTAGTTGCATATATAGTTTTGGAAATGCAGCATAACCACGCAGGTTAATAAAAGTAGCATTGCTATATAGTTTTAAAAAATGTAACATAATCATGCTAGCTAGGAAAGGTAGCCTCACTGTGTAATGTTGCAGAGAGGCCAACTTACACGGAAAAAATTCATGCTGCCTTTAAACATAAGCTATATTTGCCCGTCAAACATTCTCTTTACAAGGTGCAGCAAGTCACTAGTTGGTTGCTGATAGATTAAATGAGAGTGTGTGTGTATATTATGGCTTTTATAATAAAGATGAATAAAATGACAAAAGAGGGCAGTGTAAGTTGAACTTGCAGAATACAATCCACGTGTGAAACAGCACATAAGCATTTTGCGTGTGTGCGTGTACGTCCAAACACACACACACAAAACGAGGATTACATTTCCTTGAGGGGTCATTTCAGTGTGGTCTGAGAACAGCTGATGTGGCAAACCATCCCAGAGAAAGAGAGAGGGAGAGAGAAAATGAGACGGAGAAAGGGGGATAAAGGTGGGCAAGAGAAGTCATTTAGCAATAAACAGCTTCAGTTGTCCTTCAGGCACAGCAGAACTGAGGCACTCGTGTCCTCCTGAGTCCATCAGTGGCTGGCAGAGTAAAAACTGCATTCCTTCCTCCTACAGTTTTCTTTCTTTATCCCTTAGTCGCCACCCTTTCACCACTTTATAGTCCCCGAATGCAACTTTCACTATTCTTAGCATACCTCTACACAAATGTTTTTGGTCTACTGCTTTATTCCTTAGCTGTAAAAAACATTAAATATATGCTCCCATATTTCTCGAAACCCAAGCTCCCAGTTCAACTGATATTGACATCAATATTTAGTGATTTAAAAACATTTAAAAAATCCAATTTTTCCTTTCAGATGCATAAAGAATAAACAGATTCACCTAACATTTGCTATGCATAGGGATTTATGAACCTTATGGAGTTCAAATGCAACAATGTGACATTTCATTTTTAAAAAATAATCACGTTTTATTGTCACAACAAATTGCAGATTACTTGTTTACTCTCAGTTGCGTTTGCAGCATTTCAAACAAGTTTTCAATAGTGAAACTGCAGAGTGACCTCTGTAGGACAAACTGTGTAACATCATCACCTATCGCCTAACTTTCTTAATACGCCCTTATGAATGGTGATAGAATATACTGACAAATATCTAATATTGGCCGACTTATCAGCCCCACCGACAAACCAGTCGAGCTCTATAGTTCAGTATTTTATTTCCTATGAACATGGGTATAGTAACGCATTTTTGTTCATTTGTACTCAACTATGAAACATAGTGGTGTATGCACTTTTGGTCAGAAAATCCAGTTTGCATGTTCTCTTGGCATCTGCGTGGGTTCTCTACGGGTACTCCAGCTTCCTCCTCCCACAGTCCAAAAACATGGGGTTAGGTTAATTGGCAATCCTAAATTGCACGCAGGTGTGAAAGTGAGCGTGAATGGTTGTCTGTCTGTACGTGTTAGCCCTGTGACAGACTGGTGACCTGTCCAGGCTGACTCTCACCTTCAGGGATCCACCCCCACAACTCTGAATTGGATAAGCGGAAGAAAATGGATGGATGGATGGAAAGTAAATTCATTTAGTAGTTTTGGAAACAGCTACATTAAAGCACAGCTGCCAGCAGTGTCCCTGATTATCCCTGAGAATTAACTGTATTTCTCACAGTTACGATATCCCGACACTTGGTATCATCTCACCTTCCCGCTCTTCCTTCTACACTCTCTCTCTAAAATGTTGTCCATTGTCCTCTATTCTACTTTTCTATTCACTATCTAAACCACCTTTCAACTTTGCTTTATTTTTTCCTCATTTACATTTGTTCATTGCCTCCATTTTCTGTCCTCAGTCTCTCCGGCTCTCTTTTTCTACCACCCCAGTGTTAATGCGGTTACGTGCTAAGCAAGTGTGAGGGCCAGTACAAGTAATTACATTTGCATTATTGAAGCTGCTGGCTTTAATCAACTCCCTGTGCCTTGTCCCCTTCTCTCGCTCTCCATTTCTCCCTCTTCTTCTTTGTTTTAAAGTCCTATTGTCACACCACCAGTTCTTTTTTCCAGTGTTGTTTCAACCTCATCAGACTTCTATGTTTGCTTCACATTTTTCTTATTTCATGTGTCTGACTGCTTTCACTTTTTTGCTCATCCACACCGTCTTAACATGTTTGTCGGTCCCAATCTTCGAATGGCAACTTTGAAAATGATTGCTTGTGCTGAACACTACATCTGCTTGTGTTAAAGGTATGACTCATTTAAGTGCATCGGGCGCACTCAGGTATTTCTGATTGTTTTCCTTTACATTTTCATGCCCGTGTCCTTTCTTTCATT